GCCTTTATATAGAAATTTATTGAGCCGTCTCATTAACAACTTCAACCCTAAATAGGGTTTACAAATTTTTGACCTACATATTTAAATTACCACATTATATGAGATATAACCCGTAAGGTATAAAACTGGCCAAGTGATCACATAACATATTGGGTTTAATAATAATATCATTATTAGCCATTTATCTAACTCATAAAATTTGCAATCCAATGGAAAGCCTAGATTTTAGAGATATTCTAACATTCTTTACTCTGTCAAATTCCATCTCTGCTCCCCCAATGTTTGCGTCCCGTGAAGATGAGGTTCACAACCTTTGCGCATAGCGAAAATCAGGTCTCCAATCTTCCATTTGGTCCCAAGTCATGAAAATCATGTGAGTCATTCCCAACCGACGGGAAAACGTTATTTCCACCGTTAAATGACATTTTGACTCGCACACGGTTTTCCAATCTCTAGAGTCATTACTTGTATCTTCTCTTTTCTTAAAAAATTTATTTGAAAAAATATAAGATCTATTGATCTTAGTGCTTATTTGGGAAAATTTATTATGATTATAAATTGATATAAATGAGTAATGGATAAGTTATAATCCCGAGTCCTATAAATTTAATATTAAAAGTAAGATTTGACATTGACCTTCAAGTTAAAAAGAAATTATAATTTAAACCAAACTAGTAATTAGCTTTGCGACAAAGATCGAGTTGAGACCATGTTTCCATCACTCCAACCCCTAAACTGAAAAACAAAAAGTTTATTTCGTAATTATCTTATATACCCGTCAATTCAAACACGTCTTAAAATTTATTAGAGCTTATGACAATACAAAAATTACTAGCAATTGTTAATATTTGACGTCAGAGCTAAGGTTGACATGATTTATGCTTTCGATACTTGAAACTAGGGCTCTGAAGTATGACTCTATAATTCCTCTGATGCTCTAGTTAGCATATGCCAAAAGAAAATATAAATGAGAGGCTAATAAAATGTAATAATGTTATAATCTGGACAATGAGGTGAAGACTGAGTTATAATGTAATCTTAGAAGAACTAGGATCACCTTTGGGGCGGAGACCATGGGCTCCATAACCCAATTCACAGGAGTGTGTGCTCGATCCACCATCCAAATTGTAGAAGCATCAGCCCTCCTTAATGGACATGGGATGAGGTTTTAGATGATGTAGAATTGAATCTAGATTGGTCAACTCTTAGCCATCCAATTCGTGATCATCCCAGTGGTCGACATGGTGACTTGTATGTAGTCCTTAGGATTGAAGCCCGATTATAAAGCATATATGTCGGTTGTAATTTACTTGATTGCCTAACACACGTTACACACATCTCTTTGAGGTTACAATCCTTCTGTGATCAACCTCGTACCTTGGGATTTCGGCATTATAACCTACATATTAATGTTTGAGATAAATGAGTTATTTATTTTTATATAAGCTGATTTTTTTTTCCCCTTTTTTTTAAAGTAACTAATTTTATTAACAAATAATGGGTGCCCGAGCTGGAACAACGAGCCAATGGCTTTTGGCTACTACCCATATCCTTTCTTCCCCTATACCGACAAAACAGTAACAGAAATATTAATCTTGAGTGCGCTATGTGAAATGGATAGCATAGTAAGTCAAACGTTAAAAATATGAATTCAACGTACGAATGGCATTTTTTCCCAAAAAAAAAAGGGAAAGAAAGAAAGAAGGACGAGAGTTCCTATCTTATTGCTTCTCCTTTCAATTTTGACAATCACGTCCCTAAATGCAATAGCAGACGCAGACATTTGAAATTAATGGGGTACGATATTGTTGTCTTGTTTTGCCGTTTGAGGTGGTTGAATTGCCGACGGAGGGAGTTGGGTAAAGAAAGGTAGGCAAGGATGGATCAAATTGCTGGGTTTTGCTTCAAAGTTTGGAATTGGGAGCCATCGAGCTTGGAGTTGGGATTGAATTGGGAGTGAAACAGTTTCTTGCATTGAATTTCAATTTAGATTAGCTTTCTTTGGATTGGAATTTGGGTTTTGGGAGTTGGGATGGTTTGGGATTCTTTCAATTGGAAACTGGAAGGATTTTTTCATTACTCCATTTTCGATTTTATTTAAAAAAAATCCTTTTTAATTTGTGGGTCACGTGACCCACCAGGACCAAATATAGGTCTGTCAGTGCCTAAATGAACCTTTCATTTGCAGAAGGGACGTACATAATGACAAAATTTTAAGTATATACCTCGAATCTATAGAGAAACGACATGAAAAGAAATTATTTTCAAACAAAATTTAAGGTCGATAAAGCTTTTCTACGAGAAGCAAAACAACAATGCTCCCTATTCTACAAGTGTTTTTTAAAGAAAGTCACATCGAACCAATTTTCTTGAAAAAGTTCTTGTAACTCAAAAAAATATTTTCAAAAAATTAATCAAACGAGTTCAATAACAACTTTTAAATAGTGATGGAAAAAAACTCACCCCGTCCCGCCCCGTGAAGGAAAAAAATAAAAAATAAATAAAAAGATTAGAAATAATTTTATTTTTAGATAATTTACCCGTTAAAAACTCATTTTGAATTTATATTTTATTCTCTAAAAATTACTTAAATCGAAACTTTAAAAAAATAAATAAATAAATAAATAAACTTCGCAAAAAATTATCTCGCCCTGATGTCATTCCTACTTTTAAAGTGGTTTGTAGTTCGTCGACTTTAAGCCCACGGTGGTCATGACTACTCGAATCAACACACGTGTTACTATTTGGATTTTCAAGCATTCTTCTGTAAAATGAAATTTGGACCGTTACATAAGGGCCCAATTTATGATGTAAAGTTCGGTGGAGTACATGTGACTCTTTAGTAGTACCAAACAAGACCGTCTTCCACTGTCCCCTACAATATTTATTGTTTCCTCTGCACCTGTCGGTCGAGATTTCTTTACTCTTCAAAAATAATTAGAGTCTGTTTGATTGATATGAAAAATATCACCTAAAAAAAAAAATATTTTTCATCTTTTATGAAAAATAAAAACCACCTCTACCCAAAGAAAATATTTTCCTTAAAAACAAGGAAAATTAGGCATATTTTCAAAAGTTGAAAAATATTTTCCATGGAAAAAAATATCAATCAAACACTTCAAGTAAGAATTTGGATGAAAAACTGATATTTTTCATGAAAAATAAATGTAATCAAACACACCCTTTATGTTACTTTTTGTGCAATAAGTAAAAAATTATAAGCATTATGCTATGAGCAAAAAGTTAAACTTACTTTATTTATAAAATGCACTTTTGTTAAGATTTCTGCATCTTTTTAGGAATTTTCTTTCTTGTAGAAGAGTTTCATCAAGAAACATTTCAAGACAACGACGTCTAACATTCTTATAATTAGACAAAGTACTTTCGAAAACCTTCAAACATGTTCAAATGAAATTTTTTAATCTTAAAAGTGGTTTTTGACTTTTCAAAAGTTTATCCGATAGGCCAAAAATAATTGTGTTTAGACAATAAAATAGTGTATTCTATAGTTAACTCGGTACTAGACACTCATAGTAATTTGTCAATTGTCATATTTCAAGATTAATCAAATTGATCTCAGTGCAATTACTACCCTATTTATTTCATATACTTTATTCTCTACACCAATAAGACCACGAGTAAATGCTTAATATTTATCTAAATGATAACATTTATGATATTAAATTAAATGTAGCTTATGACCTATCATGTAAGTTACAATTAGGGCGGAGGGATGCGTAGGTCTGCCAAGGTCCAATTAAATTTTATAAGATAAAAAATAATAATAATAAATCCTTTTTTTATGATGAAAGGGGGGACCTGCAACTCCTATCATTCAAATATGCACTAGGTAAATTCTCGAATTGACGTAATAGCCTGTAAACCACGTCAGTCAGGTAAACCGCACTAGGCAAGCCCTGTGCGACAGGTTCGATCGAAAAAGTGTTGATATGTGGAATCGAATTCGTAATAATACATATTTTTTCCTTTTTATGTATCAAGTATAAAAGGAAAAAAAAAATGCCCCCTGCGTGATTAAAATTTTTTTTGCAGGAAGATAACATTAATCATAACCATAATAGCACATCAACTTTAATGATGATAAGGAATGAGGAATTAATCTGCTGCACACCTCCTTCCTTTTCATGTACATTCATCCCGTCATTAACTAATATTATTATCATTTTTTTCTCCAAATCTCTAATTAGAATAGTGTTTGATTAAATTTATTTCCCATGAAAAATATCAATTTTCCACCCAAATTCCTATTTGGAGTGTTTGATTGCTATTTTTTCCAAAGTTGAAAATATGCCCAATTTTCTTTGTTTTTAAGGAAAATATTTTCTTTGGGTGGAGGTGGTTTTTATTTTCTTCAAAACAAAGAAAATATTTTCTTTTCTATATGATATTTTCCATGTCAATCAAACACACTCTTAATTTTTTCGTCCAATTTTTTCTTCCACATCATTTTCGATGATCGTTTATGTACCATTTTTATGTACAAGTAACAAAACCTTTTTGATAAGACCATACTACTTGTACATTAAAATTTACGTAAGAGATTACATAATTTCTACATGACACTCTATCATGTGGTTATTAAAATTTAATAAATTTTGATAAAAATTAATAAAATATATAAATGAATAACTGATAAAAATTATAAGTTTAACATAAAATATACGCATAAAATTAAGGCTTTGTTTGTCTACCATTTTTCATATTATATCACATTATTTTTTTTTACAATATTCATTTTTAACAACACATTTTTCATTAAAATAATATTATATATAAATCAAAAATTGGTCCTTCTTTTTAACCACATATTTCAATATCAATCATTATTTCATAATACATTACTCACAAATGGGCACAAACAAGCCCTAAAGTTTAGAAAATAGGATCAAGAGACTTATTTCCATAATATTGTGTACTTAAGTAATTTCATTTCACTAAAACTTTGTTAATAATCAATTAATTAAAAACTTAAAACACACTAGAACTCTGATTGCTAAAGCACCCTCTCTCTCTCTCTCTCTCTCAAATCTCGCCGCAAAATCCTCCTCTCTCTCTCTCTCCTCTCTCAAAATCTGCGCATACTCTTAGTTGGGTCACTCTGCCTCCTCCTTAAATTGCACAAGAGTAGGGCCTATAGATATACATCCGTATGCGCACAAGGGTGTTGAGTATAAGCACACACTGACACAGACGTCCCGTTTAACGGAATGCTTAGACGCTGCAGAGAGTGATGACTTCAGGAGTGAAAGAGATGTTGGGTTTTTTTAGCAGAAAAGATGTCAGGAAAATTCTCAAGCGAAAGGATAGTGACGCTGGCGATAGAGGTAAATCATTTTCATCCTTTTCAGATTTTAAATCTTTTCCTCCAAATTGCACCCTTTTTAGTTTTTAAGTATTTGAATGTTAATTGCTTTTTAACGATGATTTTTAAGGTTTTTTTCCGTAAATAATGTGTAAAAAGATTTTCTTTCACGCCTTCTGCCTTTTTTAGTGTCTGGTAATAGAGGAAAATGGATTTTTACAAAAAAAGGACTTTGAGGAGAAAAAGATTTACCTTGTCGAGTAATGTTGTAGTGAAAGTGTATTTTGATTTTCGTAAAACTGGGATCAAGCTGGAATTTTGCTTGTTGGACACCTGGTGAAAGACTATTTATAATATTTTCTGGATTTACAAATTAATTAGTTTCATAAATTTGAAGCCAAACGTATAATTGCAATGTATAAGACTGTACACTTATACTTTTTGAATATCTGCTTACATTCAAATCTAAATGATCCTCTGGCTCCGAAATGACCTGGACCACAATCAAATAGAAAGCATCAAGGCCGCCTGGGTTGAATGTTGAGGGTGGATAGGATCATTAATGACCGAAATTGTTCTTTATGGGGAGGTTGGGTTGAGATGGACAGATTTATTAACGGAATGTTCCTAGTATTTAGCAGCAATTAATATGAGTTGTTAGAGCATCTACGAGAAACTCTAGCATATTCTATTATTTGGTGAGCATTAATAAATTTTGAGAATTAAAATTTTGAAATACTCTAACAAGCTCTGTATATTTAATACTTAATTTTTCTACTCCCAAAAATATTTATTATTTTTCTCTATCTTTAATTTTAACTAGCTTTCTTCTATATTATTTTATTATTTTTTGACATTGAAAATTAAAATACTTTGAATGCATTTAATTATTGAGAGCAAAACCCACTCTCTTAATTAAAATGTTAATTTAAGAAGTCGCTTGGACTATAATTTTAAGGGCTGGCTCTTTAAAATAAAGAGCATCTCATATTTAAAGAGTATCTTGGATATGTTCTTAATAAATTGTTCTGGCAATAGAGTAACAAAGAGACATTGTTTCATACAACTGTAAATTATATGAAAATATCTTGGTAAATAATCATCTTTATTACAAGCCTAAACGTATTGATTTCAGAAGGTCAACAACTTCAAGTAATCTAGGAGAAATGGTCAATACATTTGTTGTTGTTATGTCATCCAAATCTTGTACTTTCCCTTGTTGAAAGACTGTTGTAATTGTCAAGCCATTTAGCATGAATTTTTCTATCTAAAGGGCCGTTGCAGTTTTACATTTCAAGTGCATCTGGATTTAGTTATCACTGTAAAACATTTTCTAATTCTTAAACTTGACATTTAGACTTACTTTCAAGCATGTTTTAGATAGTCTTGTAATTGTTACATGCATTAATAATTCATTTCAACATTCTTTCGTTGATGTTTTGTCTTTGAGACATTTTTGCCAAATTAGAATAGTTGTTTACTTAATTCTCTTGGATTGTCAAGAAACATTCTTTTGGATTATCTTTGGAGGATTCTGTGCCCATGTTCTACAATGTTATTGATGAATCCTATTCTATTTTTAGGTAGAGCACTGGAGGAATTGCGTGCTTCAGTGTTCAGCAAATTACGGTCATTCGGTGGTGCAAAGCGTCAACAGCAATCCTTGTTGGGGCCCTCTGTTGCTCTCACTTTCAATTTTTTCGTTTCTGTTAGTATTATCTTGATGAACAAATTGGTAATCCACATACCTTTTCCTCCTACATGGGTTTTGTGCGACTGCAACGTGATATAGATTCTAACCTTTATTTCCTTTTTCAGGTACTAGTGAATGTTGGGTTTAATTATCCTATTTTCTTAACTTTTATTCACTATATATTTAGTTGGTTGATAATGGCCCTGTTAAAAGCTCTGTCGATCCTTTCTCTATCTTCTCCATCAAAGACAACCAAATATTCTTCATTGTTGTCCCTCGGTATAGTCATGTCTCTCTCCACTGG